TACAAGGTTATTATATATAGACATGTTGGTTTATATAGTTACAAGGTTATTATATATAGACATGTTGGTTTATATAGATACAAGGTTATTATATATAGACATGTTGGTTTATATAGTTACAAGGGTATTCTATATAGACATGTTGGTTTATATAGTTACAAGGGTATTTAGTAGACATTTTGGTCTGAAAGGAAATAATCAGAATAGTGTACATGCCAACTAATAAACAGAAAAAAATCCAATTTTCTGATGATGATTATCAAAAACGTAAAATATATTGTCGCAGAGACCTACATATTACAAGGTCCCTGACCTACATATTTCAAGGTCCTTGACCTATATATTATAAGGTCCCTGACCTATATATTACAAGGTCCCTGACCTATATATAACAAGATTCCTGACCTACATATTACAAGGTCCCTGTATATATTACAATGTCCCTGACCTACATATTTCAAGGTCCTTGACCTATATATTATAAGGTCCCTGACCTATATATTACAAGGTCCCTGACCCACATATTTCAAGGTCCCTGACCTATATATTACAAGGTCCCTGACCTATATTGTACAAGGTCCCCTGACCTATATATTACAAGGTCCCTGACCTACATATTACAAGGTCCCTGACCTATATATTACAATGTCCCTGACCTACATATTACCAGGTCCCTGCCCTACATATTTCAAGGTCCTTTACCTATATATTATAAGGTCCCTGACCTATATATTACAATGTCCCTGACCTACATATTTCAAGGTCCTTGACCTATATATTATAAGGTCCTTGACCTATATATTGCAAGGTCCCTGACCCATATATTACAAGGTCCCTGGCCTACATACTATAAGGTCACTGACCTACATTTTTCAAGGTCCCTGACCCATATATTACAAGGTCCCTGCCATATATATATATTACAAGGTCCCTGACCCATATATTACAAGGTCCCTGACCTACATATTGCAAGGTCTCTGACCTACATATTACAAGGTCCCTGACCTACATATTTCAAGGTCCTTGACCTATATATTACAAGGTCCTCTGACCTATATATTACAAGGTCCCTGACCTATATTTTACAAGGTCCCCTGACCTATATATTACAAGGTCCCTGACCTATATTTTACAAGGTCCCCTGACCTATATTTTACAAGGTCCCCTGACCTATATATTACAAGGTCCCTGACCTATATTTTACAAGGTCCCCTGACCTATATATTACAAGGTCCCTGACCTATATTTTACAAGGTCCCTGACTTAAATATTACAAGGTCCCCTGACCTATATATTACAAGTTCCTTGACCTATTAATTTCAAAGTCCCTGACTATTGTGAGTTTTGTTTAAGGTTGAATGTTTATAATACAGATATAATGTAGTGGAATGAGCTGTTTGTGATGGTTGCAAATATTTCCTTTTCAGGGGTAGTTAAAACTTTCATAGTACATTAAACTAATTTATAATTATTTATTCGTTTAATACAAGACATGTACATAATATGTTGTAAATGATTTAGTAATATATCCCCCTTCCTATCGTTTTGATTCATACATTAAAATACATTATTTTTTAAACTTTAGTTTATTGCTCCCAGGTACCACATTTACATTTGATACAGCTTCTATTTAATATACACAATAAATAGTATGCTTCAGATACTGGGAGAAAAATTGCTCCTAATGTTTTTGAGAAGAACTGACAACTACTTATATATCTTCCTATCCATCAATATTTTAAACGTTAGAGTCACTTGATATGGTAATTTCAGTAAAAAATCATTGGAAAAAATTATATAAAATTCATCAATTAGCTCATTGTTGACTGTGACCTTTGACCTTTGTTTGCAGTGCTCTGCAACCTGTGGGCGTGGCCACCAGCAAAGAGAGGTTCTGTGTGTGGATGAGGAGGAGAACATCCATCCTTCCAATGACTGTCATGGCAAGAAACCAAGAAATACACGGCGCTGTAAGATGGGCAGGTGTCCTAAGTGGAAGGCTACAGAGTGGACAAAGGTCAGTATAGGGCGGATAAAGGTCAGTACAGGGTGGACTGTATAGTTGTAAGAAATTGAATGTTGAACAATTACATTTACAAATTGAAAAATAATTGCACAGCAACAAACACTGATAAACAGGAAGTATCTGTGCGGAGGTTGTTAGTCTGTCTTTAAGTAAGGCAGGAGCCTTGTGATGTTAATGAATGAATAAATAAGTTTCTATTTCCTGTTTGCTTGTGGTATTTTAATGCAAGAAATGAGAATTCTTTGAAATTTGATTTGCTCTTAACATGTTGGTCAGATTTCAATGGTTCAACAGTTCTTAAGGTAATAGGATTGTGTCACCATTTCTCAGTAGAATTTCTTTAAATTTTGTAGTGATATTGCTTTAAAGTAAAGAAAATTTTCTGCCACAAAAAAAATATAGGTTGTCAGAATTTTAAGGATTTTAAATGGAAATTTATGTAAAAAGGAGTGAATTTTGAAAAAAAAATGAAAGACGCAATATTTTTACAAAATAATGTCAATAAAAATGAAACTGACATATATTAGTATTGCATTAATGTATATCAATTTAATAAATGCTGAAGTTGTGTAAAATTAATTCTCTAAACATGATATAAAAATTGACATTTTATAATAAAACCATATACACATAATAATTGCAGGTAAGAGTTATCGTTCTTGAAAAACTTCACAGTAGTGAAATAGGTAGCCGGGTTCCTGAAGTACAGAAAAATGGACACATGTGACTCATTGATAAAAAATACCTGAATTAATGCCTGGATTGCTTTAAAATACTTTAATATTGAGAGAGCACACTGTTCTGTCAATAATAAACATACAATATTCATCAGTTTAATATTAAACATTAGAATTTGCGGAAATTGTGATACTGTCTCCCTACATTGGATTTTTAACTAGGGAGGTACTTCCTGTTTCCGTTTATCAATACACTCCAATGACCTAAAGACAGGAGAATGAATGATTATATCATCAGGTAGAGGTCAAACAGCGACAAACACATAGAGGGCATAAAGGCTCACACATAAAAAGGTCATAAGGGGTCAAACAGATAAAGGTCATATAGGATCGAACACAAAATGGTCATTAAAGGTCAAACACAAAAAGGTCATAAGGGGTCAAACAAATAAAGGTCATTCAAGGTCAAACACTAAGTGGTCATAAAATGTCAAACACGAAAAGGTCATTAGGGGTCAAACATATAAAGGTCATTCAAGGTCAAGCACAAAGTGGTCATAAAAAGTCAAACAGAAAAGGTCATTAGGGGTCAAACAAATAAAGGTCATAAAGGGTTAAACACTTAGAGGTCACAAAGGGTTAAACAGAAGTAAAGAAAGTAATAAAGTGCTAAAAGTTGATTAATCAAACACAGTGAATGAATGAAATAATATCAAGTGTTTTGTTTTCATACAGTGCTCTGTAACTTGTGGAACTGGTATTCGAACCCGAGGCCTCAAATGTAAAGCCAGGCATCAGCGAACAGTTGATCCAGCTCTGTGTATAAACAAGAAGAAGCCAAGACAGAGGGAGGAATGTGTGAGAAAGCCCTGTTTCGACTTCTCCTGGTTGAAGGAGGAGTGGTCAGAGGTAAATCTATATACAACAGTGGGGTGAGGGGTCAGATTTATTTTTATAGAGCAGAGTGATGGGCATAGTCAGATTTAATCATCAGCAGGATAAGGGGGGG